CTAGAATGCATCTGAGCGCGAGATATTGCGGGCCAACCCTGGGCGCAAAATTGGCGCCACGACAAATCTTTCATTGTTTTTGGTTCTTTCTCTTCATAAAATCGTTTCCTCGTTAAATCTCTCGTCTATGCTGGGGGTATCATGTTGAAATGAGCTGCTCGCTCTTCATGCGTGGGGTATCATGTTGAAATGAGATGCTTTTTCTTTAGGTTGCTCCTTGTTGTAGCCCCATCCTCACGCCTTCCCCAGTGGTTTTGTTGAAATGAAACGCCCTGCGAACTCCAGTCCTGCCGGGCCCATCCAAATTAGCTGAGTTGGTTATGCCTTGCACCAGTATAAGTCAAAAACCAAAGGCAAGAAAAATCCGACACCTGACTAATCTCAGTTGGTAAGAGCCTCTCCGCTGGCCTTGGAAGGGACTTTGTTTTGCTCTCCATTTGTAACGCTTTTCTCGGCGCTAGTGACGGATGCATCGCCATCCAACACATGTCTAGTTCCATTTCCGGGATGGTCTGGAACAGTATCTTCGACGACCACATCAAGATCCTGGGCCTCCAGACCCTCAAACACCTTGAAGATCTCGTGATTTTGATGGAAGTCATTGTTGACAATATTGACAAGGTAACATTCATCCATGATCTTCTCAATCAACTTTCTGCTCCCGGATCCGGCGGGATAGCACTTCGCCCAGTCTTGCCCAAGACGGAAAGCTTCGTCTTTCCATGCTAAAAAGGACACAGTTTCCACGATGGTTGGCTGCACAATCTCCCGGTTTGGAAAGATGCCCCAAGTGACGGCGTTTGGACCTTCATCTTTGGTGTTTGTGTACAGTTCACCTTTCCGATTCACTGCGTAATATGTGAGATTTTTGTTGGCATCGAGTCGTTCCATGATTGTCTTGAACATGGAAGGGAAGATAAGCAATTCCAGGTATGCTTTCTGGTACACCCAGCCGCCGGCAGGACCCCATCCATAAACCGGGTGGGTGGAGGACGCACCATCCACTGCTGGCTGGGAATTGATGGTCAAAAATCCATGCTTGTTCAACTTCAAGAGATCATCCTTGATGCTGTCGGCTTCGGCGGAGATGGCAGCTTCGCTCCATGGTAGTCGGTCCAAGTCGCCCTGCAAGAAGCGTACAAATAGACCTGTAACGTCGCGAAGTGATCTTGGTTTGCCCCATAACTTGATGTTGGCTTCGTTTGTGCCCTTCAACCCGGTGCCGTAAGCATCCAGTTCTCCGAAGGCAGGAGATCTGCTATCGCCCCAACGACCGTTGGGGAACTCATCCCAGTCCGCTGTCCGGCTGATATAAGACGCGTTGCGATTTCTCCAGAAAATTGGCCTGACTGTCTCATCCCGGCGGTTAAACCCCAGAGACTGTCGCCAGGGCAGTGGTTTTTCAAGGCGCATTCCGGAAGTTTCCGGCGTCAGGGACAAGTCCTCCAGAACCATCCGCGTAGCTTGGGCCAGATTCATTGTGTAAAAGTGGAGGTGTAGGATTCCTACGTCCAGGATTTTCCGGCACATGTCGGCAACCAGATCTTTTCCGATTGCCCTGACAGCAGCATCATCGTTTTTGACCGGCTCCAAGGCATCGAACCACTCAGGAGGGACATGACATTTCGTCCAATTAGCCCGTCTCACAAACGCGGCATAGGTTTGGATGGGCATGATTCCGGGAAGTATCGGAACATTGATTCCTCGCGCCCGGCATTTCTTCACCCAATTAAGAAAAACATCGACGTCGTAGAACATTTGCGTGATGACAAAACTAGCTCCGGCATCGACCTTCTCCTTGAGATGGTCGATCAGCAGGTCCACGTCCCGCTGGTCGTCGCAGCCCTCGGGATAGCCAGCAACGCCAATATCGAAATGGTCACTGTATCTTGCTTTGATATATTTGACCAGATCCTTTGCATACCTGAAACCACCTTCTTTTGCTTCCCATTTTTCCTGGTCTCTGGGCGGATCTCCACGGAGTGCCAGGATATTTGTGCAACCAGCTTTGTATGCGCGACGAAGGGCCTCGTCAACTTGATGTCGTTCCATGTCCGTGCAGGTCAAGTGCATGCAGGTTTCCAATCCATAGTAATTTTGAGTAGCATTGACCATCTCACAGGTCAATTGGGAATGTCTTCCGCCTGCGCCCCAGGTGATGTCAATGAAAGCCGGCCCCAAATTATGCATGCGGTCCATGCGGTCGTACAGATTCTGAACGCCCTGAGCTGTCTTGGGAGGGAAGAACTCGAAGGAGAAGGTCGGCTTGTTCTGCTGGTGGGCCAGCGCAAGTTTTTTAGAGATATGCATGTCGGAGATTTGGCAAGGGAAGAAAACGAGGGAACAAGTGTAGGAAAAGCGACTTCAATAAAGAATGAGGAGGATCAGACAGTCTGGAAAGAACGTTTGTTCTCAATGATCCTCTGTGCTCCTGTGTGACGGTGTACGCAGTGACGGTGTAGCACGTTGTCCTCCTCCGAACCCAAACCGAGTCAACCGAAATATCGGTTGCGAGCCCACCTATCGGCCAGTTCTCGCTGCATTGGGGGGTGGATGTTCAGAGGAAAGATGATCCTGCCAACTAATCTTGGCTCAGCAGAAAAATGAAGGGATTTGAGAAGTGAAAAAGCAATTTCGACATGCTGCCCACCCCGCTTCAGGACGAGGGTGATGCCGCCCTATGCTTCACCGCCTTTGCTGACCGCCACGGATCCGGAGAATTAATCTTCCGAGTCACATGAGCCAACCCCTGGTCGTCATTTGTGTTTATTCTGCCCTACTTGTTAGTACCCAGTAGTAGCCCTAGGTGCCACGTGACTTCACGTGATCTCTTAGCCTGGCTGCATCCACAGATACTTGGCGCCTGCGCTCCACTGTACTTGGTACAAGTATCCCGTACGGGGTACCGAGTAGCTCACAACAGGATACCCTGGTCCTTGCTCTGGCGCCTCCAGATGTCGCGCGGTGCCAAGCCCTACAGCAAACACTAATCCTATTCTGGAGGCAGCCGTGGTGGAGATGGTTTCCCCTCTGCAGCCCTCTGTAGCTGAACCCCTCGTTTGCTTGGAGGAAGAAAAGTTTGCTCTTGGCAGGCACCGTCACTGCAGAGCGCGACTCAGATCTCGCTTCTGACCAATTCACGATACCCTCAGTCCCGCAGGATCCTTTCAAACGGACGACTTCTCCCACGCTGCGCTCTCAACCATGGCGGCGGATACATCCTACAAAGACGCTCTGCTCACTCTGCTCTTGAAGGCCTCTGCTCTCTCCTTTGGCACCTACACTCTCAAGTCTGGCCGCATCTCGCCCTACTTCTTCAACTCTTCCCTTCTGCACACTTCGTCTCTCCTAGACGCTCTCGCACGTGGCTTTGCTTCAGTGCTAACTTCTCCTCCTTTCTCCCTTCCCCTTGGCACCGAAGAAGCTGGCGCAGACGCAGATGGCTCGTTCGCCCCTCATTTTGACGTCGTCTTTGGTCCGGCATACAAAGGAATCCCGATGAGTGCGATAGTGGCCAGAGAGCTGTTTTTCGCTGGAACGCATTTTGCGGGTGTTTCGTATGCATACAACAGAAAAGAAGCAAAGGATCATGGAGAAGGAGGCATCGTCGCCGGAGCGCCGCTCAAGGGCAAGCGAGTGATCATTGTGGACGATGTCATGACTGCTGGCACTGCCCTGCGCGAAGCCGTCTCCATCATCAAGGCTCAGGGTGGTATTGTGGTTGGGGTGGTTCTCCTTTTAACCAGACAAGAACGTGTCTCCGATGCAGAGCCGAGAAGTGCTATGAAGGTGGCCGAGGACGAGCTAGGTGTGCCTGTGAGGGCTGTGCTTACGTTCCAAGACTTGCTCGAAGCTATCGAGGCTGGAAAGGTCGAGGGAGCCGGACAGGAGCAACTCGAGCTCATGAAGGACTACCGGGAGAAATATGGAAGCAAAGACTGAAGCTGGAGATATATCCAGACGGGCCTTGACTTTGTCACATTCATGGAGGATAGATGTAATATTTGGACCGCTCCCGACTCACATATTGACGACGACAGGTTTGTGAATCTATGGCATTTGGGGCCGCCTTTTCATCAGAGATATTCCCTCTATCATTCTGGAATACTTGTCGGCCCAGGGCTCCGAAAACAAGAGGGGCCCAATAGGGGCTCATGAGGACGTCTTCCCCGTCGTCCTTTGCGTGATAGCTATGAGAACCTCGTCCTCATTGCCCCATCCTTCCCCTCTCTTCCAGCCTCTTTTCTCTCTCTTTCTCGCCTTCATCCCGGACGCACCCGTCGCACTCGTCGCACTTCCACCCGACACTACCTGAGGCGATGGCGCTAGGCGATGGCTGTCCACGATATAATATTGATCCACAACTAGGCAAAGGAGACGGCGTGCTCCAGGGGCGCATAGTGCGAGCTCACGACTGTCCCATGGCAGCCATACAACATCTTCTCATTTCCCAGGCTGTCGGTATCATCCTACATGTTTTGGGACAAGTACCGCTCTCGCCTCGTTTTTGCTTCAGGCGTACGGAACGCGCAATGCGACACCACGCAAAGTGCCAAAGTTGAGGAATGCCATCAGATGAATGCCTCCCCAGCCGAGATCTAGTCTTTGGAATATATATATAGGATTCGGTCAAAATAACAGCCAGATCAGAGACCCGCCGATGCACCTGGTACCACTTGTCGGCGGAAACAGAGGCTTAGAAGAATCCACCGGATACGGCTACAGCGAGAAGACTAATGAGCTTTTCACATGTGTACAGGGAAGATCAATCTCTTTGTGTTCGAAACCATTTTTGATTCGTGTCACCCCGATATTTTTCGAGGTTGGCGATAGTTCAATTAATGACAGTTCATCCAAGCTGCGTCAAAGATAGCCGTGGCAGTGGTGTCAACTTGCACATCTTCAATGAGAGGGACCAGGAAAGTGATATTTGTCGAGTCCTGCGCTGGAGATACAGCTAGATAGTTTCTTTCAAGCGGCAACGTCACTTGTCCACCCACCTACACTTTCTCAGTGTGCACCACCTCCGTGACGTTGACGTCTTCGCCCGCAATCTTCTTCAGCTCCATTTGTTCCTCGACAATCCCATGTCCGTCCTCGGTCAGATGCACGATGACCTCGTCGCCAAACAGCGCCCCGATCTCCTCCACGGGGATCTGCTTCGTCTCTGGTATGTAAAAGTACACGATGACGGTGGAGATGAGGCAGAGTCCCATGTAGAGGAAGTACATGCGGTATTTTCTGTCCTCGGGAATAAAGTGGTTAGCGAATGCATAAATGGCAATTCTTCCCCTGTGGCTGAGTGGCCGTTCCTCGCACAACCTACGATCCTCAACCCCACTGGGGATCGGGGTAAGCTTGAAGATAGAGCAAGTCGATACTTACATGTTCTTAAACGCCAGCGCTGAGGGCGTGGTGTATGTAATCGCACCCACAAAGTACGAAAAGAAACCCAGTCCAATCCCTCTACCTCGAATGTTTGTCGGAAAGATTTCGGACATCCAGATGAACGACGGACCATCGACGCACTGGAACATGACGATGTAGACATAGATGATCAACACACAGCCTGCCAGCCCCCCTTTGTTGTCCGTGCCGAGATATTGCCATTGGAGGATGCCTTCGAGGAGGAGGCAGACGGCTAGCGCTGGGAACCCGATGACTGTTTCGCGGGGATGAAAACGTCGTTAGCATGACTGGTGCTGGAGAAGGGGAATGAAGAACCATACGGAACATTGTTCGACGACCGACTCTATCGACAGTAAAGATGGCGATCGCGACACAAGTGGTACCAATCGTGGTATAGACCGCTATTCCAAGAGTCAGCTCAGATTCTTTGCGCAGCTTCGTGGTAATAGTTTCAACCATATAGGAGCAATGGCATGACGCCACTCATTCCCAGGCTGGTAAAGATCAGGACAAGGAAGTTGGCTATCCCCAAAATCTAGTCCACTTCGTCAGCCGAACGTTACTGAGGCAGTTAAACTGGGGAATACTTGCGCCAGTGGATTGGGCCGCGAACCTAGAATAGGAAGCTTAGCGCGAATTCCAGCACGCTCGATGGACGACTCACTGAATGAATAACGTGAGCAAGCTTCTGTGCCGCCACGAAGGTTTTCTAAACATTTCAACGTATCCAGCTTTTTGCTCCTTGTCGAATTCCACCTGTCTCACGATCTGTATGTATTCGGCGTGTGCTGCCGAATCCGCTTCATCGCCGGGATCGTGATGGATCTTTTGAAGCACTTCCCATGCTTCGCCGGCTCTGTTCTTTAGGCAAAGGTATCGGGGGGACTCTGCAGGGCGGTCAGAATGCCCACCCTGTCACTGACGGAAGCCAGGCGTACCTGGGATGAAGGGCAGGCCCAGGAGAAGGGCCACTGGCCCAACACAGGCAAGTGCCAAAGGCACTCTCACTTGGACATTAAAGGTTTTTGCATAGTAAGTTCCGATAGAGATCCATGCGCACCTGTAAGGCAATCAGCGTTCGTTCCCTGCATGTCAAGAAGCATGAACATACACAACATATCCCATCCCGAAGCTCAGCGTTGTGAGCCCACTGAGCAAGCCTCGATGACGAGGAGGTGCAACCTCCGTCAAGTAGAGGGGAACAAGGCAAATGAGCATGCCGAGACCGAAACCATGCAGCAAACGAACAGTGATGAGCATACCGATTGCGACGGAGCCAGTGATCAGGGCAGCTCCGATCAACGAGGATATAGCAGCGATCATGAAGGCTTTCTTTCTCCCAATGACATCGACGAGCCAACCTTGAGCCAGAGCGCCGATTGCCAATCCGAAGTTGAAGAGAGCATTGATTGCTCCTAGGATGCTGGAGGAGGGTTAGAGCATTGATGAGGACGAGAATGCAAGATACTTGCTTAGCGGTGTAATTGCTAGTTGCTGCCAGAAGATCAGTCACTACATGAGGAGTAAGGGCTGATAAAACTTGCGGTCAAGATCGAAATACTCGTAGAAGGAAGGCTGCCCTATGCTGGTGACAAATATGGCAAAACCGAAGCCATAGCTGTAGCCTCCCCAGGAGACGACCAGACAGATAGCGATGTTGTACCACGTAAGTTTGCTCATCTTGCATCACAGGGAGGTTGTAATCAGGTGACGGGCGTTGAGAAAGTACTTGCGACAGAGATGTCTCGATAGACTCAACAGCAGTCCATCACACTTTATATCCCCGAGAAAACCAGCCGCGAAGCACGAGTATGTATAGAGTCCGAACCCACTCTACCTTCAAACCGAGACAATACAGTACCCCAGACTTTGATAGCTCGGCTCCCACATGAGCTCCATGGCCCATGGGACAAGATGTGGGGACATGAATTTTGCGTTGTTCTAGGTCGGTCTTCCAACAGCCTCAGCATGTCTGGAAGGTCTGCGACCAATTCATCCCAAGTCCTACTCAAGTCTGTCATTGGGACAAACGATCGGGGAGCTCCTGTGACCCTGAGATATCGAATGGGAATGCTGTTGATGGCGACTTTAGTTTCTGACATTGCATTCCTAATTCTGACATTGTTGCTGTCAGAAACGAAGAGCCACGGCAAAATCGTCGGCTATGCAGAGACAGGGGGGATCGGTGAACTGTACTCGGTATTCCGTTATTCCTACTTGCCTATCCGCCAAACGCCGCATTCAAATACAGGTGGTACGGTCTGACAAAGTAGAGTGATTCACTGTCAGATCGCAGATACCGTTCATTCACATTAAGTATAATGGTTGTCGTTAGGAATAATAGTTCTCTGTCATTTATCCCATACTGCCAATTATATTTGACATAGTGGCCGCTTTGACGTTACTGCGCACTTTATTACAGGCTTGGAGAAGGGTTTAAGCATTACATTTCAGCCTGGTGAGGCGCGTTAGGCGGCGGATAAGTCCTTGTTACACTTGAATTACTAAAACGACGTTAAGGATTTTGGTATGTGCTTTCGCGTAATCGAGGTTGTGGTTATGGACCAAGGTACCTATGATCCGACGAATGACTCTATATGGTATGGTGGTGAGTGTGAGTGATTTAGCATGAAACGCTGGCGAGGCTGAAAATATCAGACCATCACATCGATGCTGTGCTGCCTGAGAAAGCCCAAGGCTCCGTCCTCTCAACCATTCCCAACATGATGGACAATCGTCGAACTTCCCCCGTCGCGTCGCTTATTACAACTCGTCTTTCCTCGTTCCCGCGTCTGAATTCTTTGATTTCACACAGCCACTGCCCTCTTTCTCACATCCTCCAGGACAATCCCCGTCTGCAAATTGCCATCTGAACAGCTCCTCAGTCTCATTCGCCAGCACTCCCCCCAGGATCCGCGTCCGGTGCGCAGACAGTCGACCGACACTCCGGGAGAAGACCTCTCTCGAGCGAATGACGATTTGAGGCCAGTCGTACGATCGGAGAGTGGGGATCGACGTGGAGAAGATGTATTCGCGGAACCCGCCGTAGATGATTGCGGAGGAGCACTTCAAGCAAGTTTGCAGATGTCAGAGACGCATTTGCTCAAGGGAGATTTAACCCCCGGAAATGTTCGGAAGGTCACAGATGGGGAAATCCTGGGGCATCTTACCATAGGACACGCCTCGGCCGTGGTATACAGACTCAAATCACCCATTGCGCTCAGCGCCTCAGGTCCAGAGAGCTTGTATTGCCCATCAGGATCAGTCAATATTCGGCTGCAGTTGTTAATGGCTGCTATTTCGCCTTTCAGCAAGTCAGCACGGCGTTCTATTATATCGCCAGGTGGTGAGAATCCAATGCGTTTTGATGGAACGCTGGACACGAGAATGAGAATTAGAATACAGGGGACGGGGAAAACATCTGCCCTTTATACAAGGCCGTAACCCACGACCGGGCTTCTCGAAACTCTGGAAAGTAACAAGAGAGAAGACCCATCAAAGCCATGCTCTCTTTACCGCTGGCACGAAACCGACCACTTAGGCAACTCACCGTGCAAGGTCGGATTTCCATCCCTCACCATTGAATTTGCACCGATGCACACTTCCTGGCCCAGCTGGATCTCAGCCGTTCCCGTCTCGGACGCAGTGTGATTGACGACGACTGCCCCGAAGGCCGCAAATGGACAAGGGCTACCCTCGTTGATATCCGCCAGGGCCCCGATCGCACGCCGCATCCAGTGCGCCCGGGTCGAGAAAGGGAGCGGGTCGGGGCTGAGGTCACTGTCGACTCTTCCACCGGTGTAGCAGGGGTTGGAAGGGTCGTAGAGATCACAGCCGTGGGATTCGGCTGAACATGAGAGACAGAGGGGAAGGAGGGCCCAGACGATAGAGGATAGCTGCATATTTCAGGTGAACTGAAGACTAGAGAGGCTCGAACGCAACAAGGATTGAGGTATGAAAGGATAGCAGCATTCAATAACGTATCGCTGACCCTGCTTTGTCCAAGATGAATTCCCGATCATGCCAGATGTAGTTGATATGAAGTCGAAGAACTGAAAATGCAGGGACCAGCGCTCATGTCCGGTCATCAAGTCCACCTCCCCCGGCTTGTGCGCCCGGCAAGATCCTCCACGTATCCCCCAGATATCGCGCTACCTTTCTTCTACCAGGTTCTCAGTCAATATCCTCAATGGTATCGACCATCTGCGCAAGATCAAGACGCTCTATGACAGCGCCTGTTCTTTGCTGGACCCTGAAGCCAACCCCATTTGAAGCCTTGCTCATCCCTACGTCGGGATTCCACACAGGTATCAGGTCCAACAACCTCGGTGGGAAATAGGATCGTGTCCCCCCAGAACTGATTGCTGGCGTAGATGCACTGCGCGGGGTGCCTGCTCTCTGCTTTTGGAGTTTTAGTGTTTCTTTCTCATACCTCGCAGCAGCATTTGCTGGCATGGTTCGAGCAGCAAATACGCTCGGCCACTCTACCACTTTGAGCGCTAATTTCTGTATCTCAAATGCAACGTAGCCGGGCGAGACGAGGACGATCTTTTGACGAGCCACCGGATGGTCACTATACTGCTCAAGCATGCGAGCAAATCCATTGTCGAGGCAGGCAGCGACAAATATTGCGTGGCAATTCGGCGTTGAGAGATAGAGGTGGAAGTTTTCTGTGAGTATGAATGGTCAGTAAATTCATAGTGTCTTGAACAAGGACGTCGGGCCACACCTCTAATTTTGTCGTCCGCCCTCTCTTTCCCTCTTCCGGCATCGAAGAAATCGAACAATGGGATTTTCTCGGTGAACTGAACCGCAAAATCGGCTACACTCACACCCGGAGGGACACTTCGACGCCGGTTTTGTACCATGCCTAATCGATTCCCACTCCCGAAGTTGAGGAAAACGCGAGTGACGACCTTGGATGCTATTGGGATAGTCCCATTCTGATTCAAGATGTACTTGATGGCTTCATTGCGGATGCTTGTAGCGGCGATGGCACCTGGGCCGGTACCCTCGACGTAGCTGACTGCCGACGTGCCTCCTTGCGGACCACCATAGCCGGAGATATTTGAAGCCCACTATTTGTTCTCGCGGAGTTAGTGGATCGAACGGTATAGCACGATGAGATGCATGCTCACGAGGTAGGCATCGCCATCTATCAACACAACAACAAATGGTTGTGCCGGCAGAGGAAAATCTTGCGTGAGGGTGGCCATAGGGTCATGTGGTGGCTCGACCCTTGTGGTGCACCTGAGATACTCTAGATCAAGCTGGGTGTCAATCAGCTTCTCTTCCACCTTCCGAGCCTGCTTATTCATGGCTTTTAACGATGCCGTCTCGGTGTTAAGTCTTGCTTGAAGTTTGGCGAGAAGGACAGACTCGTTTTCCAAGCTGACTTTGAGATTCTTAGCCCGAGCCTCGAGGGTTGCACATTTACCTCGCTCCTCTACCAGCAACCGTTGCGCTCTGGCGGCCTTTTCCCGTTCAGATTCTAGGGCCTTGGTGAGTTCGTACAGTTCGGTGCGGTACTTGTCAAATTGAATGTTTGCTTGGTCACAAAGTTCATAAGCAAATTCGAGTTCCAACTGCAAGTCTTCCACCTTGTCAGCGAGGGTGTCGAAGTCCATAACATCGCTGAAACTCGCAGTATCCACTGTCGCTCGGTTCTGGGTTTGGACATGAGCGCTCTCATCAACATCAGATTTGCCTTCTGACCGGAGCAGTGAACCAAGCAAGCTGATGCACCTTGACATGAAGAAAGTTTTGGCTGTGCTTGAGGACCCAAGGCGTGAGGACCAAACGCGTTTCGTCGAAATGCTGTTTAAATTCAGAGCCTCTTGGCACGGCGGGCACCCGCTAGTATATAAATACAAGTCTCTTCCAGCACCGATAGGTCTTCTCTTCGTTCTCAATCCTATTCATGTTTATGACCTCTAGATTGGTCTAATAAATTCCTCTTCTACTGTAACTGAATCTCTTCATCTTGTCTCACAGCCTTTCGTGTATACCACCTCGAAACCTACCTTCCTGTTCGATCATCGACCTGTTCCTCTCTTTGCGTTGTACTATCGACGACTTGACGCTGACGATGGGACGCTCAAGATCACCCCATAAACGCAAGTCGATTTTAACAGAGAACCTTTTTGAGCCATGCCGAAAAGAATCATCCTCAGCTTCACCGCGCGGCCGGTCCGCCTCACCTTGCAAACGAACTTCCATACTACATACGACCATCTTCGAACCCCCAAGAAACACGGGATCTCTATCTGATCTTTTAAGTCAGAACCAGGCCAACCACGACACCCTCAAAGACGAAATTCGAGGCTTGAAACGGGAAATAGAAAATCTCGAAGATGGCTCAGCTAAGCGACTGAAAATGACCGAAGACTGCCTATCCTACGAACTCGACTTGAATATCAACGAGCTAGAAAGAACGAACATACAGCTCAAAATGAATAGTATCACAAAAAGGCAGGCCGTCCAATTCAATGAGCAACTCTGGGATCAACGAATCAATCTCAACGGTCTCCGTTTCCGGGCCTCAGTGGACCTTTACAATAGCGAATTGCCCGACATGAAGGAGATGAATATCAGATCAAACCAGAACAGGATGAACGCCCGGCTCGCTGTCAATCTCTACTTCACCAAAACTAATCAAAAGCCATGCACCGGGCTCGAAAAGGTCCCGAATCGAAAAAACGACCTGACGCAGAGGAAATTCAGAACAGAATTGATTGATGCTTATAACTCAAGAGACCCTACGGATCCTACCTTCTTATGGTGTCCAGTCTTAAGAGATTATTTCGATCCGAGTCTAATGACAGCGGCCCATCTCATGCCATACGCTATGCCGGACAAATTCATTGAAGAAGTTTGCGGACCCGGCTCGTCTCTATATAAGATGACGCCGGAAAATGGGTTAATGCTCAATTTTCGAGTCGAAAAAGCCTTCGATATGGGCCACATGAAATTACCTTTCCCATAAGAAGGGGGGTAACACTGAAAGCCCACGACATTCATTATCGGCGACTGCAATGGGGCCCTCTTAACGAGTCTGGCTCAGGAAATATCTATATGCCTGGGACTGGTACGGATCATAGGCCATCTAAGCGAATTCTCTATGCAAGATACGTTCTGGAACGCCTTGAATTACTTTGGAGATATGAAGGAGGACGCCTTACCGATAATGACTGGCAGATTCCGCTGATCCAAGAGCTACGTCTGCGGAGGCCGTGGCCAACTATTGGGCCGTACCTATGGGAGTCTGGTTATTTGCAGGATTGGACGCAGGAGATTGGTCTTCCTTTCAACACTGATTTGCTGGAAGACGTATGCAAGGCTGCTAATAAAGATGCTGATCCGAACTGGAAGGCACAGGTTATGGAGCTCCCTGAGCGCGAGAGAACGCTTGTCCGCAGATCGACATTGCAGGACTATCTTGGCAACAAAAGAGTAGTCCAGCAGCAGCAGCAGCAGGAGGAGGAGGAGGAGGAGGAGGAAGAAGAAGAAGAAGAAGAAGAAGAAGAAGAAGAAGAAGAAGAAGAAGAAGAAGAAGAAGAAGAAGAAGAAGAAGAAGAAGAAGAAGAAGAAGAGTCAGGAATGAAGTGGCATAACTGATGGAGATCTGCACCCAGCCACCGACGAGCTGAACACGAGGCTTGATAAGTTTGTGGGCAACTGTGCCTCTGGTGCTCATGAGACGGCAGGTTGAGGCGGATGGAAGCTTAAGGGCTGACTTAATGGCACATTATTCAGTGGTATAGTCGGGAGAGAATGAAAACAAATGCTCCGTCATTTATCCATACGATCCGGGGGGCGGAATAGAAGTGTGTTATGTGCCTGCGACAAGACTTTGAAGAGTATGCGTAGAAGGAGTGGTTATCTAAATCACAGGTAAAGGCGAGCGAGAGGGGACACAGAAGGAGAGAATGTCGCAAGAATCCGACGATAGAGGTCAGCCAAAAGGATTGTGGAAAGTTGTAAGCAGTGGAGTCAATATAACGGAAGCGGCGCCTGATGCGAGCGGGGCGGGGGACTTGGCGATATCAGAAAGGAAATGTCCCACTGCCCAGTGAGTTCATGGGCAGGCGCAAGATGCAGTCTTTTGCAGATTTGAATAGTACATTCAGTTTTGTTGTCTGCAATAGATAGCCGCGGCGGTCTCTGCACAGCGGCATGGCGGTACATGTGCAGGACCCAAAGCCCTGCAACACACAATACGATTCGGTCCTTGACGATCCACCGTCGAAGGTGGCCTAGAAGCCTCTTCCGCTGGCTGCCATCCTCTCCAAACTAGGCACGGCGTTGAAATTGCCGACGCCCATTCCTCCATTGATACCCGACATTGCTCCCATTGTGCCTGCATGAATAGGCCGATTGCCCATGCTGGGTTGCTCTTCCAGGTCCTCGTACCTCAATGTATAAATCCGCCGAACCTTCTTCCAAAGTTTCGTGTCCCACCAGATGTAGTAGCCTTGCTCGCTCACTTTGTCATCCAGTAGCACCGGGCTAGGTGACGCGTCGTCCCTGGTGAGCCACTGCTTCTCTCTCATGTGATACCGCCATTTGCGCGCCACCAGCTCTTGGGCCACCAGCATTTGTATGTAATCCCGAGGCATGGTGTAGAAGATGAAGAATAGTGTTTCATCTACAAATCCGGTGATCCGGGTAGACAGTGGTGCGATTTTCTTGACAGTGTAGCAGTCTGGTATGCTGTACTCCGAATCCAATGGCCGTAGTGGTGTTGCATTGGGTTCGGCCCATGGCCCTGGGTAGGATGACAGTAGCGGTTCTTGAGAGCCCATATTGATGCCGAGAGTTGACAAGTCTACCCCCCTCATCAAACTTCTTGCAGCTGGGCTCGCATTGTCTTGTTCTGCAATATAACCCTTCATCCCGAATCGGTCTTTTTCACCCATCCCTGCGAAGATCGAGTCGTGGTCGGCTCTTGTTCCGATCTCCCGATCTCCGAACATATCTCGCGGCTGCATTCCCATTGACTGTGACGGCGATTCCTGTAACTGCGTCCTTCCATCTTGCCCCAAGAATCTCTCTTGACCTATGGCCGCATTCATACTCTGAGATATAGGTGATCGAGCTAAAACTCCACCGTCAGCGATTGGCGCGGTCACATGAGTGGGGGAGCTATACAAATTTGTGTCTGTCCGGACGGCGAAGTTACTCTGCTGGGGTCACCAGGCGTGCTGTCGCCCTGTTGATTTGGTTGCCGCTGCCCCAGCCCGGGAGGTCCACTTGGAGCTTGGCTTGCTCGTCGTACGGGTTGGGAAGACTCCGAGGAGAACTCCATCGGAGCATTCCTGGAGTAGGTATCAGTAGGATAGAAGCCGTCTCTACCGGTAGTAGGTTGTTGCTGTCGAGAGGAGATATGAGACCGTGAAGCTTGCATTTGCTGTCTCTGTGCCTGTTCGTTCTGAGGTGGCCCAGTCTGCCAGGCACTGGAGCCAACACTGTGGCTTTGCGATTGAAGGCTGCTGTTGTTTAAGCTGGGAAAGGAAGACGCCGACAGATCGAGTTGCGTGTTTGCTCTCGAACCCATAGCTTGTGCCCAGCTATCGGGCGCTACAGAGTCTCGTGCTTGTTGCGAGGGTGCTGGAAGGCCGCCTTGCCCCCAAGTTGCTGCCGCTGTGTCAGCAGATATCTCTGTGACTGATGGATAGACGTACCAGGCTTACCCGCAACAATCCTGCCGCTGTTAGCGGATCGGCCTTGTGAGTGTTGATTCATGTTGTTCACAGCAGGAAGTTGTCGTCCTTGTCCTAGAGAAGATTAGTTAGCACGTGGCACCAATGCAGGTACGAAAAAACAGCAATGTTAACGAGCTATTTGCAGAAAGGTCCACCTCAACAGAGGAGCCCCACGTGACCTGACAGGCCTGCCCGGCGGACTCATCCCAGTTGTAAAGGGAGTGAAAGCGCAGGCTGAGCTTTCCGTGGGTAGAAGAACCCTATGGTTGGATCGGTGCGAAATGGGCCTGTACATGCCATCGCGTAGCCGCGAACCTTGGTGCTTGAAGAATGTATCTGCACCCATACCCGTCTGCCAAAGCGCATTGCTCCGTAGCCAGTTGCAGAACATCTACCGCCATTGCGTAGGCTTAGGAGATTTCTTTTGCAACTATTGCTTTGGTGTGACCGCGCCAGGTTGGGCCCACGGAATTGAATGTATCACGCAGTCGCAGCATATCCATTCGTCGCGACTTCCAGTGTGCTTCAGAATCGGCGCAGTCTTGTGGGAGAGCGCTGAAGCTTTGGCTGATATTTCACGTTTTGCGCATTTGTGTCGTAGAGCCGTGTAAAAGGACATCCTCTTTCCCAAGCCGTGTGTACAGATTGCCCCCCTCTTTCGAGCCATCCAGTATCCATAATCAGCCATCCGTGCGAGAGCAGCCGGTGCGACATATGCATCACATTCCCCGTGGTTCATTAAAGAGAAAATTGAACGCAGTGTGCCGTGCGAGGGAGCCACAAACCCACCTTGTCGATTCATCTCGGTGTTCGACTTGACAGTCTGTACCGAACCCAGATGCTTTCGCACAGGGGAGAGTGATTGCTCAGTGCGCAAATCTCAGATCGGCCGTGTTGGCGTACGCGTCAGTGATAAGGAGGTGAGGGAGGTGTTGTCTGTTGTTGACCTGTGTTGTTCACAGGTCCTCTAGAGGCTCGGAGCGCAGTCTGCAGTCCGCAGTCCGGATTCAGATCCAACCTGCTGGCCTTGGCGCGACTAGGATCCGAATGTCATGTCCGCTGAAGAAACGAAGCACGGGGCATTCAATAAACACTTTCCAGCCTCTTAACACAGTTTTAGAATTGCGAAGAAGTCATGAGACCCTCGCGATTCACCAGAGATCGTTTTACATTAAAGCAACTTGTCTACAAACGTCTTTTAGCCTCCGAGTCGCCAAATCCTCGAGGGCCCAAGTTCAAGCATCCGCCCGTGTCTAATCATGGTGGTCAATCGACTGTCTGTGGGTTGATGAGGCTAACTCTATGGCCTTTCCCAAATGGTTTGTTCGAAAAGACGCTGCTCAACCGGTAACGCCGTGCTCACTGTTCCCCGAAAACGATTTAAAGCAATAATCCTATGGCGAGTTCGACGTTGCCGCCTGCCTGTCGAAGCGCTGCAATGGCCTCCTCTCTTGTAAAGCCCAGTTCGGTTACTTGCGCTATCGATTCTGCTGTGATTGGCCGCGTTTCCCCAAAGTTGCTAGAACCCGCGCCTGGTTGAGACACAGAAGGTCCGGCAGGCGCAGTGGCAGATGATTGCCCAGCTGTGGTGGCGCTCCGCTGAGCTGACCCCGATCGCTGGCCAGCCGACGGTGCTCCTGGAATGACAGTCCCGGTCGTGGTGCCAATTGTGCTTCCTCCAGGTCCTTCAACCTTGGGCTCGTTTTCTAGAACCTCCTCCATCATCTTGGGCAGCTCGCTTTCCGGCAAGAACGGGATCTCGTCATTTTCAATTCGCAGGCAGTTCTTTTTCAGATCGATGCACATCTGGTGCCGCTTTAGCATATCGAGCCCTAATAGCAAATCCACGTCTTTGCCTTCCATAACGGTGAAGCTGCTGGCTAGGTTGTACTGTCCAATTTGAATCTCGGCCGAATGGACTCGACCCAAGATTTGGGCAGTACCAACACCTTTTGCTATTCCCCCGAATCGTTTGTCAACCAGCCGCAGGATGCCACACCGTTCGGCAGCTGACGGGGACATGATAGTGGTCTGTGCACCTGAGTCCACGAAGGCTTTGATAGGATGGCCGTTGACGACAACATCGATATAAAGCATGGTGACCTTACCAAACGCTGCGAGACGAGCGTTAAACCAATTTTGCCCAAGAGCGGATCTTTGACTTACCTTCGGGAAACTCTTCCACTGCTTTTTGCATGTTTTCTAGAACACGGTCTTGTCGGATCATTTCCTCAATCTTCTGCTGTGCGTCGACATTGAATGGGTCCGCTTCTAACAGCGC